AATTATATCTAATACCTAGGCTGAAACCGCAGTTTATGGGAAACAGGAACAATGGGTTTCTAGAGTCAGCTATGCCTGTCACAGTCACAGAGTCTTCAGCTTAGGCCAGCAGAGTTCCTTTAGGTTGTTCTTGTGCTGCATGGCAAAAGGGGGGGGAAAATGGGGTCTAAGGCTCTCGAACACGTCCTAGCGGTCTCGAGGTCCACGGCCCTCCCTGATCCCTAACGCTCAGTGGGCCTCCGTGGCCGGCTCCCAACACACCTGTGCCAGTGCCCTGAGTATTCACCATGTTCCAGGGACTATGTCTTGTGGGCACAATCTGTGTCCTCACAGTGACACAGTGAAGAGGAGAAGTGGTGGCTTTCCAGGGATTGTGGGTGTGGAGGCATGCCTGGGGATGGCGGGTTCCTGCCAGGCTCCTAGTGAGAAATGGAGCAGGGCCTAGGACTCAAGCACTCCCATCACTTAGGCCCACACTGTTGTGTTACTATTGATGGATGCAGTTTTGGGGAAATGTCCCCCCAGGTGAGTGGCAGGCAAGGGTGGGGTCACAGGGAGCTCTGGGCAGGGCTGGGTCGTGTATAGGAGCCCTTCCCCCAGATCCAATTTTGATGACTGACATAGAGACCGCTGCAACTGCTGTGGGACACAGTGCAGACTTCCTCGAGGACCCCGAAGCAAGCATCAGAATGAAACTTCCTGGGTACGGGAGGCTGCACGAGGGCCTGAGATCTCCTCAGTGCTATGTGCCATTGACCACCCATAGGAGTCAGCCCTCTGAACCTCGGTTTCCCCCTCTGTAAAACAATAATAGTTTATTTCAGCAACTCTGAGTTGCAATCTTTCCCGTATTTGAATCACTTTGTTTTTTGGAGATCTTCTCTGTCAGGGTGTCTGCCCGGAGGGTCCGAGTGAGAAAAGACTGGCTGGGCCAGACTCAGTGGCTCATGTCTGCCATCCTAGGAGGGAGGATTGCCTGAGCCCAGGAGTTTGAGATCAGCCTGGGTAACATAGCGAGATCTTGTTTCTACAAAAAATAAAAGAGACTAGCCAGACAGGATGGCGCATGCCTGTAGTCCCAGTTACTTAGAAGGCT